TCTCTCTCTCTCTCTCTCTCTTTCTTTCCTTCTCTTCTCCCAGACACGCTGACACTGACATAGACACTGACACAGTAGGCTAAATATGACCTTAGAGAGAGAGAGAGAGAGAGAGGGAGAGAGGAGGTCACAGATGGAGACGTGAAGGCTGTCCTTCTTCTCCACGGGTTTTGAAGCGAAGGAGCGCTGAGGTTTCCCTTGGCCAAAACGTCAACACCACAAAGGACTCGGGAACCCGAGCGTGGGGGGCAGTGGAGAGGAGGAGCACCTGATGCAGGCTTTGGGATGGGAGCCATTGAGCAAAGCAAACAGGCAGCGGTAGAGAGACATGGCAGAGGGAATGGGGTCTTTGGTGGCAACGAGTTGGCTTCCCGATGTGAGCCTAAGCCATGCCTCGTAAAGAAGCCAAAGGTGTGGTGTAGCTTCTCTGTTCCCGTGACCACGACCCTCCCCTACGACGAGTCTCTTCTTCTTCTTCTTCTTCTTCTTCTTCTTTATCTTAGCAGCTGATGTATGATCTTGGTTGAAGGATACGATGAACAGGCGGCACATTCCAGCATTCGGGAAGTGGGACTACTCTGATGATCTACCCATCACGCAGTACTTCGAGTCTGCGGTGCAGGCTGGCTTAGTCCCAGGCCAATTCCTTGGAGAAGATGCTCATCTGTTCAAGGTGCCACCAGTAGGCCCAGAGAAACCAGCTCATCACCACCAACAGCAGCAGAGAAAGGTTCTTATGTCTGCTGAGACTCTTTTCACTCTTGCTTTGTTGTAGGATCTCACATGATTCCACTGGCTTTGGTTTGCGAGGTGAAGAAAGGAGAGAAGCAGCATCGGAACGGGCAAGAGAGAAAGCAAGCAGGGGAGGAGTGTGACACCACCGCAAGGAGGCTGAGAGCTCCCAAGGCTGTGGACGAGGACTTGTACAAGATCCCACCTGAGCTCCTCTGCCGGAAGCCCAAGAGGGTATCATCATTCATTTGCTTCCCGTTCTCATGCCGAACCACTAACAGTAGCAATAAACGTGATTCTCCTCCACCGTTAATTGGGTGCAGAAGAAGTTGCTGAGGAGCTTGTGGTCAGGATGCCTGGGACTCAACTGCATTGCGTGAGAGAGCAGTAATGAAGACTTGGTACACCCTTCTTCTTCCTCTCTTCCTTCTTTAATCGATGAGGAGATGCGACTCCTCTGCTTCTTCTCTATCGTGTTCTTGTTCTTGAGCTGATGTATCATCATCAATCATTCAACTGCCTGCAAAAAGCAGGGCAAGTGGGAGCTGTAGAGTCTGCAATCCTGTGGCGTGGTGCGGTCTTTGATGCTAGCGAGCGTTCGTCACTTTGGGAGCTGCGCACGGTGGAGGGACGTGTTTGACGATGGAGTAGTTCGAAACGTCTCCAAAAGGCTACGGTGCTGCTGCGTCGTGGAGTCCTTCTTCCCACGCTTTCTTTGCTTTCGAGTTATACCCTCTAAATGTTTGTGCCTACACCCATCCACTTTTTCGACGCAATCCACCGAATCATGTCTACATTATAAATTGTCTCTTAATTATTTATATTAATGAAATAGGTGATGTTTAAGGTGGCACAGTTCACTATGAGACTACGAAATTACATGTTCCGATCTATATATATTTTGAAAGTTACATTAAAATTCTTAAACATTTAGATATTTATAGTCAAAAATTAATTTTAATATCTAAATTAATTAAAATTAAACTCTTAATTTTTGTACATTTTTTCGGATGAGACCTTTAGTTCTCAACATTCGGTAAATGGATATTAAATTAATATTTCGAATATTTATCCTCAAAGCATATTAACTAAAATATGTCGAGAGATGCGGTCAACTAAATATTATTCTACCCAAAATATGTATCCTCGAAGCCTTTACCGATACAGCATGCAGCATACAGTATCAAAAACGCTTTTTTACAGTATGAAATTTGAATTTTGAGAGACTGCACCATTGCATTTGTTGTTCTATTCGATTCCGAGTGTGAAGTATGTCGTACGTTGCTTCCTTTTCATCCAGCAGGTTGTGGGTAAGAACTAGTTCGTTGGACCACCGTACATGCTATTTATTTTAGTGTGAAAAACATAAATGTAAGGAAAAATCAACGTAAAGTACTTTCCCTCATCCATTTTGTGGCTGACCACTTCTCCCCACTTAGTACTGGACATCCTGCATGCAAACTGTGTGGATCAAGTCTTCCATTAAGCCCCTGAAATAATAATAACAAAACATTGATTAAGAGCAGATGGTGGTCTGTGAATTTTTTTCCCCCTCATTTTCCAGTGACTAAATACAAATGTAAAAGGCAATTTATGTCGAATGGCAAATTTGAACTTTCTATAGTAGGTTTGATAGCATTGGGAAACGGAGGGTGAGATCACAGACCAAGCTCCAGAAAAGAAGTGCATCCCCTTGGCTTGGCTTCACACAAAGCCCCCTAACCATCGTTCCTCCACAACTGCATTCACCAGCTGCGGCCTGATGTAGGGAAAGTAGTAGAAAGATTAGCAGACTGAGGCAAGAAGATATTAAAACATATAACTAAAGCTTCCAACATTCACTTCCTCAAACACCAGCATTTACTGTTTGATTTTTCATAAACAGCATGATCTTGCCTGATATTAAAAAAAAAGTCAATGATAACAAAACAACTAAATTTAAATTCACAAATTATACTAACCATTGGAAAGTAGGTCTCACCCCCTTCAACATCATCGTTTAAATACATTAGCATCGTCGCTACACGTTGGCCTCCTTTCTTTATGTGAGTCTGCATGCATTCGGGGACTGGTAATGCTCCTTTGATGCGCAGAAGAAAGAATCAAGATGTTGATGAAAGAGAAAGAAATCTTACAATGTTAGTGAAGTAATCAGAATGTACACTGTAAAACTGACTTTGTTTATACCTGCACGAAAAGTAGTATTCCATAACTAGCAGGATCATCTTTCTCATATTTTTCTTTATGTTCTAAATGAAGTATATACTTTTTTAATTTAGTACCTTAGTACTTGCATTTGCTCACCATTTTCTGCAGGAATTTGAGAAAACACAGCAATCCGGTTTTCGATAGCCTGTGTTGATAACAAGAGAACAAAACTTTAAGAATGATATTGTAAGTTGAACTTATTCAACTGAAAAAGATGAGCAAGTCACCATATATACTTTCGAATCAAACACTTGAAACCTATCCCTTTTTTTGGTTCCATCTTAATGAGAAACAAATTACAAATTTCCAGTTTAAATGAATGGTTCAAGCAACAAAATAAGCACTGTTAAAGCTTGTATAAATATTTGGCCCATTTCTAACAACTTAGGCATTATTGATAACCTAATAAAAAATCTTTATCATGACATCAGAGCTCCTTCAGATTCTGGTGGTCTTCATTGTCGTACCTGCTTAGGTTTCTAGAGGATCCTTTGTGATCTTGATTTATCTCTTATTTGGTCTTCTTTACTCTCTTTGTTCTTTATCATGGCAGACTCAAACATCATCCCAAACTGCAACCAATATTCCAATTGATATCCATCTAATTAATACTTCCAATTCTTCTATTGATATCTTAATTACAACCAACTTGCAAGCTCATTGGCAAAAAAGTTGCTTGAATAATCACCAAACAACCAAGTTGTTCATCAAAATCAAAGAGGATGGGTTAATTGAGGATGATCTTATTTTGAGACTTGGGAAGCGATAATTTTATGGTTATGCCTTGGCTGTTTCATTCTGTGCAACAGAAAAATCAACAAACCACTTCTCTTTCTTTCAATAGCTAGAGATTTGAGATGTTGTAACAAATGCACTAGTTTATGAATTAAAGAACTGGATTTACGTTAACAAAGAAGAGTCATTATCTGTGTCCAAGAATTACAGCCAGCATGCTGAAGGGGCTGTGGCTGGCTAGAATACTAGAGCTTCCCTATTTTATCAGCTGTTGGTGTTGCTACAGTTTCATGTTTGGGTAATGTAGGAAGGAGGCACTAAATTTTAAGACCATGGAAACAAAGAATCACATGTCAAGAAAACAGGAGACTGACACCCTATTCAAAGGATTATATAACCTCAGGTGGTTTTGTATTGCCATTTAATTTCTTGCATACTGGTGAATAACAAACTGTATATATTGATTACATGAGGCAGGCTGGGGGTGTTGGTTTGCTGAAAGAAAAATCCAACACTTGAAGTTGCAAGAGCTCTAGTTTTCCAAATGGGGAGTACAAAAAAACTTATTAGGGGAAACTATCTCAATAGCCACTTATTTAATCAATATGCTACACCCTAAAATCCTTGATTTTTAGAAATTTTTTGGATCATTTGAATAATTCTACCATAAAAAAAGAAACATTGGAAAACTTCCTCTTGAAATGTTTGGTGTCTCTTTTAATCACATTCAAAGTCAACATCAAACAAAAAGATCCTAAAGCTCTTGAGTTTTCTTGACTACTCACTCATGTAAAAGGGATATAAATGCCATCATTAATCTTGTTGAGAGTCAGCTATGTTTCTCAAACACTTATCCTCAGGATGAGAACATATGTAAAGATCATGATCAGTAACTTATTCCTAGTTCCTAAATTAATAGAAGCTCCACCAGATCTTAAATCCTCGTCTATGTACTCTCCCATTAATAGTCCATAATGTTCAAAGATAATGATCAATAACTTATTCCTAGTTCCTAAATTAATAGAAGCTCCACCAGATCTTAAATCCTTGTCTATGTACTCTCCCGTTAATAGTCCATAATGTTCAATTAATAGTCATAAAAGTTGCTTAAAAAGTATAATTTATGTAAAATAAGGAACCAACCTGTATAATTGGCAAATTTTGCTCTTCTGAAGTTAGAAACATACCAGAACTTGTTCGAACCTTACTCTTTATACCCTGGAGAAAATAAAAATAGACAGAAAGGTAAGTGCAACAACTCTTCGGAACAGATACACAGCACACTATGATGGCTGACAGGTTTTGGCTAACCCAGTTATGAATACAAGTAAATGTATTAGACCTGTATCTTCTGTTGTAAAATCTTCTTTCCAAGTACTCTAGTTCCAGAAAAATTCTCATTCTCACCACCAAATTTGTTATGATGAAGATAGTGTCAAGAGATACACCCAAATTGTTTCTTTGACTATGGGAATTCATGACTGGGTGTGAAGGGCACACTATAATATGTATTATAGACAGGTCAACAAGTTCAATAGTTTTCTAGAACTTCTGAAATTTTAAATGTACAAATACCTTCATGAGAAACTTAGCATTTAGTCTCAAAATTAGAAGTATAGTTGACATAAACACAATGATAGAAATCTTATGACATTTTATTGTTAAAAAAAGGAGTCATATGTTAATAAAGAACATTGTTCTTAATTAGGTCTCTTCATTGTTATTAATTATTGATATACAATTGACCAAAACCAGGAAAACAATTGGCCATAAGCATTGAGGTTTGCACAAATATTTACCAAAGAGAAAAATAGGAACAAAAGAGAACATTTCTCAGCATAGATGCTTGTGTGATTATGTTCAGAGCCATCATCCTCCAACTTTTACCACCAAGTTTCAAGGAATATATTCTTAGTAACATCACAAAGTTGCCTTTTTTTCAAAGGACAGGACAGGACACAGAAAAATTAGACCATATGAAATCCACCATTCATTCAAGTCAATCCAGCATGTAAACCAGCATTGTCTCTGGAAAGTATGTCTATCATGCATTAATTAGTATCATGATACTAGAGATGAATTGCATATTAAACATGGTTCCATAATCTTACAAGAATATGACAGTACAAACACAAAGAACTAAGTAGGTCTTTAATATTGTTCTTAACAGAAATAGGACAGTAAAAACTTGCCTTCCCCGTTTCGTCATCTATCACCATGGAGACCGCTAGGCGAGGTCTACCAATTGCTTTAAGATAATCACATTCCTACATGTGTAACAAACATGAAGATCTTCATAGCAACTTCCATGCCAATTTGTAAACATATGCACCACATAGAACAAAAACATAAATGAAAGCATAAGTCTCTTGTTTCATATGGACAATTATCATAATAAATATGCAAACCAACCATCAAAACACCATGCATACCGAGCTTATGGAAATAAAATAAAATATACATGGAAAGATATAGATAGCATATAATATTGTGCAGAAGTTTGGCAAATGCTGCATAATTTACAGTCTTGAAGAGTTGACGATAATATAAGCAGAACTATTCTTTGAATAACTCAAAAAGACTCCATCTGAAATATCTAATATCAGGTCACTTTCAAAAAAGATGATACTGTCAAGGGACAAGAAAGGAATTATGACCACTAGATCTAATGAAAATGTCAAAACAATAACATAACAGCATATTAAGTACTGATAAAGAGAGCATCCTCTAATGAATTTGGCATTTCCATGGTGGACCCAGTAAAGATATAATTTAATAAGTAGAACTGAAATCACAGACAAACTCAGTTTCCATCAGCATATAATGATCATATTTGGTGTCAATCAATTATTTATGGAAGTACAAAGCCAACAATATTTCTTAGGCTGTTTTTAGCTGCAACAAAAGCCCATGGAAA